CTGTGATTCAAAGCTGAATTTTCAGCATCATTACTCCAGTCTTCAGTGTCACATGATCCTTCAGAAATCATTCTAATATGCTGATTTGCTGCTCAAGAAACATTTCTTCTTATTATTAATGTTGAAAACAGTTGTGCCGCTTCATATTTTTGTGGAAACTGAGATTTTCAAGATTCTTTAATAAATAGAAAATTCAAAAGAACAGATTTTTTTGTAACATTCTAAATGTCTTTACTGTCATTTTTGATCGATTTAATTAATCTGTGCAACATTATTATTATTATTATTTACTTGTTTTCCCATGTTTTTCAAAAAGTCCAAATTATGTTAATTGTTGGGCGTTACATTTTTAAATAGTATTAGAAATGGCAGGAAATTTGTGGCATAACAGAGATCACTTATTGCACAAAATGTGAGACAGCTAAATATTACGTTTTGAAATTATTAAAATAAGAGCTTATAAAACAGCTTTTTACTACAATTAATTAAATATCAATTCAACAGATAAAATGATGATACAGAAATTACAGATACGGAACAGAAAATCAAGACCTCTGATGACAGATCAAGAAAATCATCAGATATTTCAAGTTTTTTAAAGAACTAGTTACTTTTGTGAAAACTTGGACAAGATTTCTGCCTTCAGTGATTAAAAAAAAATATTTAAAAAATCACCAAGTTCACCCTATTTGTGGAAAGCGCCAAATAAAGCAGTTTGGAGAGTATATAAACAACATTTGAGCCAAATGACTTCCGTCATCAAGGCCAATGAAGCAAGCAATTCCCCTCCCAGAACGAAACCCATCAAGCATTTAATTGTAGCTACGCAGGGATGAAAACCACAAAATAGAGCCGGCTGGCCATGAAGACAGACCGAGGAGAGCCATCTCTCCAATTCCATTAACAATTACAAAAACTCTGGTGCACTTCACTGGGCTATTTTTTCCCAAAGCACTGAGTCAGTAAAGACAGAGATAAAGAAGAGACTGTCCCAGACACCCTCTCTCACACAACACACCATCTCTGATATTTAACACTGACCTATTTTCAAGGCTGCAGGGTATTTTGAACCATGCTGTGGGAGTTTTTAAAGTGGCCTAGGGCAAGCGAGATTGTAGGCTTTCTTCAAAAGCCTGGCATGGAAGGTGAGCTAAAGTCATCGGGGAATAAGAAACATGCAGAGGTTTTGGGAGACTCTTTGCTCATCAGGGAACTACTAATGCTGTTATACAAGCATTTATATTTAGAGATGGAAAAATCCCTGTACAATATGCTCATGTTGGCATTTGGGTAAGTAGGGCATTATCACCAACACACACAAAAGACTTCAGATGGGGATGGGGGGAGTCAGTTCCACATGTCGCCATGGAAACTTGGAGAGAAACATGGTTGGTTACATCACCAAAGCAACCTTTTCAGCACCATAGTCCTCATAGTGTCATAGTGAACTCTTGCTCTGACGCTAGTTTTCAGTAATGAGCTGCTGCTCACATCTGCTCTCATCGCTTACAGTTAAACATTTAGGTCCGAGTCACTGGCTTCTCAGACACAAAAAGTACTGTAGTAGTGGTTTCATATGGTAATACCATGGTACACTGATATACAGTATATAGTATTGAATCATCACCACATGCATGTATCTTGGTATTATATGCATGGCAAGTACACTGTAAAAAAAGATTTTTCAAGGTTGTAAATAAAACAAAAGATTACTGGAGTAGGTTTTAGAAGAAGGTTATGGATGCTTGTTTACTCCATGGGATAAAAAATTTGGTAAAATTATAAAAAAAGGTAATTGTGACTATTTAATCTTACAACTGACCCTTCGCATGGAGCTTGATTGACAGGCGATCCAACCAATCATAACACCATATCCGCCATTTTGTCCGACAAACAAACCAGACAGGAGAGTAGATTAACATCGGTGGACTTGAACTTGAAAAATTGTGTGTACTGACATCTTTCCGTGGCTGAAATAAAATACCTTCTGATGTTCGTTCATGTTTATTTTGCGCTTTAACTAGTATAGAGCAAGAGATGATCGGTTCATGCGCTGCTTAAACTGAGGCTCTACAGCAGTCGGTCACGACAAATAAGGAGCCATAAATGGTATTTACTGTTTGAATTTCTTAAAAAATGACAAAATTTGAAAGCTGAGGCTTTGTTTTACACCAAAATAACATGCTCTGTCTTGTCTGTCAGCGCGTTGTCAGTTTCCTCTTTGCTCCGCAATGTATTTTCTCTGTGTGAGAACACGATGTGTGGCGTGAGAACGGCATGGCTTGTCGGACATTAACTGCGTTATGTGTTATCTTTGTGAAGGGTCAATTCAAACTTTTATATTCAATTCATTTCTGAGTTTATATCTCGTATTTAGACTTATTCCTCACAATTCAGAGTTTATATCTCACAATTCTGACTTTTTTCCTGATTCTGAGTTTACATCTCATAACGCAGACAATTTTATCACAATTCTGAGTTTATATCTCACAATTTAGACTTATTCCTTGCAGTTCTGACTTTATATTTTGCAATTTAGACTTATTCCTTGCAATTCTGAGTTTATATCTCACAATTCTGACTTTTTTCCTCACAATTCTGAGTTTACATCTCGTAACGCAGACAATTTCCTCACAATTCTGAGTTTACATCTCGTAACGCAGACAATTTTCTCACAATTCTGAGTTTACATCTCGTAACGCAGACAATTTTCTCACAATTCTGAGTTTACATCTCGTAACGCAGACAATTTTCATACAATTCTGAGTTTACATCTCGTAACGCAGACAATTTTCTCACAATTCTGAGTTTACATCTCGTAACGCAGACAATTTCTTACAATTCTGAGTTTACATCTCGTAACGCAGACAATTTCTTACAATTCTGAGTTTATCTCTCGCAATTTAGGGTGCTTTCACACTAGCACTTTTGGTCCGCACCCGTGTTCGATTGACGTCAGAGTTCGGTACGTTTGGATGATGTGAACGCTGTCTTCAGAACTCGGGTGTGCACCCACGAACCGTACCCGAGTCCGTAAGGCAGACGTAAGTGCCGTTATGTACTGAAGCTTTGGAAACAAAACCAACGGTTCAAAAGCATATATATAAAATTGAAGAGAGCAATGCTACACATTTTGCCGTCTTCTCCTGTGCCATCGTTACTAAGCAACGGTGTAAACAGCTGCTGGCTTGATGACGCAAACGAACTGCGGTTCGGACCCAAATAATATAATGTGAACACAGTCCAGCGGGGGCAGGGGGAGGGGGGAGCAATCGAACTCGGGTTCGGACCAAGCAATCGAACCAAGTGTGAAAGCACCCTTAGACTTATTCCTCGCTCTTCTGAGTTTATACCTCACAATTCAGACTTTTCCCCTCACAATTCAGAATTTATATCTCATAATTCTGACTTTTTTTCTCACAATTCTTAGCTTATATCTCACACTTCAGACTTTTTTCGCAATTCTGAGTTTTTTATTTCACAATTCAAACTTTTTTCCCCAAATCTGAGAATTCAGAGGAAAAAAGTTAGAATTTCATTTTTAATTCATTGTTACTTGTTTACTTTCTTTGTAAATATTTGTAAAATAAGTCATTTCTGAGTTAAAACTGTTTCAAAGTAAGCATACACCAATTTCTTTTCAATGTGCTTAAAAGACTACATGGCACATGGCACATATACACTATTTTCCTAATTAATGCTGTTCAGTTGCTTTGACACAATCTGTATTGTTAAAAGCGCTATATAAATAAAGGTGACTTGACTTGACTTGACATGCACAAAAAAACTTGGTATTCATGTTTATTTTCCGCTGCAGTGGTCGGGTCAATAGTTCAAATTTTTACTTATTGCAGTTCAGATTTGACAGACTTTAATTTGCATTCCTGTAGTTCAATTGGAAGCGCCTGGTACTAGCACTGCCAAGGTCATGGGTTTGATTCCCAGAAAACACTTCACAGATCAAATCTTTTAATTTGTTTTGACAAAAGTATCTGCCACACACATAAATGCATTTGCCCTGGCAAACATTTTAATTTACCATCTTCTTTAAAGGGGTCCTAATTATGCTCTTTTACAAAGCCTTGATTTTGTTTTGGGGGTGTACTGGAACAGGCTCTCATACTAGGTTGTTCGAAAAACACATTATTTTTCACATATTTTACATTACTACAACACCTCTCTCCCAGATCTTTTTTATGCTCAAACAGCAACATTACAGACTAACTATAGTTGAAAAAGTGAAAAAGCATAATAGGACCCCAAAGCCATACAGAAGATTTTCTGGGCAAAGATAAACAAAACTGTGTTCTTACTTGACACGATTCAATACGGAAAGCCTACAATATGAAAATATATATTTTGCATGTTTATGTCTTTTAAAGAATAGAAATTTCTGCTACTATTCTGATGGATACTTACTTGCTCAAATAACTTTTTTTTTTCAGGTAATGCATCAAACCATCAGAAAAAACAACTCTGCAAGCTACAGTTGGTGATAGAAAGGCTTGTCTTTTGAACTTTCATGGTCTTTTGAATTCATTAATTGATCAAAGTAAGAAATGTTTCTTAAGAAGCAAATCAGTATACTCTACACGCAAACTGAACTGAATTGACAGTTCTGGCCAAACCTCCCTCACATTAGCCTCAGGCCATCATGCCATCCTTACAGTTGAGCTCTGGTTGTACCATGTAGATGGACACATTAAAAGAAAAGGGTATTTTTTTGTTGCTTTTTGTTAGTGTTGCTGAAATGAAAGCCATAAAACAACTCAACAGCACAATGTGAACCCTGGGAAATCTCGAGAACTACAAACTTCATTCCAGCGGCGTAAATGATTGGACTGTCAAATATCACACCCCAGCATTTGGCTGAAACCTAGAAAAAGCCTTGAGCGCTTCGAGAGATTTGCATCAAATAAATACACCAGGGCTGCAGAATGGGACTTGAAGTGAAAAGAGCTCAAAGAAATCTATCACTGTGCATCCCTAGAGTGCCTCACCACGCTGACGTCTTCGGGTCGACACGGAGAACCTCTGAACTGGCAGGAGAGCAGCATGTCTTTTATGTCATGTCCTGTTCTATTATAGAACTCCCACATGTTGAAGGGTCGCGGCTTGAAGGAGCGAAAGTCTGCTTTGCTCTTGAGAACCTCCATCACGCTTTCTTCAACCAGGTGAGCGTCCCGAATCTCATGTCTATAGAGACAGGCAACAAAAAAAAACAGAAGAACATGAGAGTACACTCTTAAAACTAAAATTTCTCAATAGGTTTTATTGCAGCGATGCTGTAGAAGAACCATTTTTGGCTCCCAAAAGAACCTTTCAATGAACCTTTTCCACTATAAAGAACCTTTAATGCAATGAAAAAGTTCCATGGATATTAAAGCTTTTATTAAGTTGGCAAACCTAGTGCAAAATGCATTGCTTTAATATTGTTTTTTTTAATGAACTTTTTATTAAGAGTTTGTTTGTGTTTAACGTCATGCCAGCTTTTGTGGTGAGAAACATTTATGGCTTAATTATATGTGACCCTGGAGCACAAAACCAGTCTTAAGTCGCTGGGGTATATTTGTAGCAATAGCCAAAAATACATTGTATGGGTCAAAATTATACATTTTTCTTTTATGCCAAAAATCAATAGGATGTTAAGTAAAGATCATGTTCCATGAAGATATTTTGTAAATTTCCTACCATAAATATATCAAAACTCTTTAAAGGCAATTTTCTCAGTATTTAGATTTTTTTGCACCCTCAGATTCCAGATTTTCAAATAGTTGCATATCGGCCAAATATTGTCCCATCCTAACAAATCATACATCAATGGAAAGCTTATTTATTCAGCTTTCAGATGGTTCTCAATTTCGAAAAACTGACACTTAAGACTGGTTTTGTGGTCCAGGGTCATATATCAGGTTTTTACAATTTATTTTCACTAAAAACTCTAAAAATGTATTTGGCATAACTCTGTTAAAAATCTCTTCGAAAGAGTTGACTGAATCAAAAAAGTTCTCTCACAGGGTTAAAACCAGCACAATCTAATAAAACATGCTTCATTGATAAAGGGTTTTGGCAGAGAGAACATGTTAGAGGATCTTCTCCTAGTATTGAAAACTTGTGTGTCATCCTGGAATGACCTATTCTAAAGTGGGTATAAACAATCTGGTCCCTTCGGTTGGAACCCATCACATGTCGGAATACTGATAGACATTTCTTTTTCCAACATTGGGGCTAATTTCATGGAGTTTATTCATTGTATATAGATCTTTTTATTAAGTAGTAAAAAAGAAATGTATTTAAAATACATTTATTTCATACTAAGTATAGTTCAAATCTATTAATATATTAACTGCCATATCACTCCAGACTTACTGATATAGAAATTATAATTAAATTTATTTGGAGTACTATATTCAGTATTTTTTATATTATATTTTATATTTTTTACTACATTTTTTATATTTTTCATTCATTCTTCATGTTTCACAGAAGAAAGTTATGCAAATCATTAACTAAAGCTATAAAAAAAAGCTTTTTGTTAACTGAAATAAAGCTGAAATAAAATATATACATTAGATGAAAAACAAAAGCACATTGCAAAACGACTAAAAATGAAGTTAAAATTAAACTGAAAACTGAAAATACAAAAATAAAAGCTAAAATTGTATATAAATAATACTAGAATAACACTAGGATGTATGTCACATTATGGAAGAAAAGAGCTGTTGCAAAATTCTTCAGCTTTTTTGTGTTCCACAGAAGAAAAGAAGTCAATTTTAGTAAAAGTCAGGTTTTAGTAAATTATGACAGAACAGGTTCTATAGTATAAAGACATACAGAATTTAGAGGCAAACTCTAGATTGAATCTCAATTTGACTACACTCATAACTGAGCCTAAATGATGGCACAATGTCAATATTTATTTTGTGCCCTTGATGCAGCAAAGCTGTGCATGCTCTTTTCAGCTGTCCGTTGAGGAAGAAGGAGAGTCGCATGTCGAAAAGTGCCACACTAGACCAAATACAGAATAAAATTGAGAAAAAGAGAGAGTGTGTGTCACTGTGCAGAAGCACTTGGAATGCAGAAGCAGGCGTGACTGAAGTCCAACTCAAACCCACATCACATCACAGCTGCCGGGTGTTACAACACTGCAGTAACTAAATCACGACTTCCTGATGCCAGATGGAAGCGGATACTGATTCTCATGCCAAAGATTTCATTTTAATATGATTTTTTAATTTGGGAGTTGCACTTCAGCAATCCAGAAAAGACCCATATAATCTGATGATACACGGTCTACATGTCTCTTAAAAATAAAGGTTCTTTATTGGCATGTATGGTCCTGTAAAGAACCTTTAGCATCCAGTGAACCTTTCCATTGGACAAAAGGTTCTTTATATTAGAAAAAGGTTCTTTAAATGATTAAAATCTTCTTAAAGGAATAGTTCACCCAAAAATGAAAATTTGTTGAAAATTTACTCAGGCCATCCAAGATGTTTGATGAGTTTGTTTTTTTCATCAGAACAGATTTGGAGAAATTTTGCATAACATCACTTGCTCACCAATGGATCCTCTGCAGTGAATGGGTGCCGTCAGAATGAGAGTCCAAACAGCTGATAAAAACATCACAAAAATCCACACAAGTAATCCATCGTCTTATTAAGCAAAAAAACTGTGTTTGTGATAAAAACATGTCTTAATGATTAATTTATTTCATTTTAAACAATGGTCTCTGCCTGGCTAAAATATGATTCCTCTATCAATAATATTGCTTCCTCTAGTGAAAAAGTCATCTCATCTGAATCAGGAGAGAAACATGCACAGATAAAGCACTGTTTACAAGCCAAAACAGTCCTAAATAAATATGTTGGTAGATTTTGATGTGAGAGGACAACTGGAGTTCTGCACTGGAGGAAGCGTTATTATGGATTAGTGGCCCGTATTTTGGCCAGAAGAGACTGTTTAAAGTTAAAACGCCTTAATGATGGATTTGTTTCTTACAAACATACAGCTTTTCATTTCACAAGACATTAATTTATGGACTTGAGTGTTGTGGATTACTGTGATGTTTTTATCAGCTGTTTGGACTCTCATTCTGACGGCACCCATTCACTGCAGAGGATCCATTGGTGAGCAAGTGATGTGATGCTAAATTTCTTCAAATCCATTCTGATCTACAAACTCATCTACATCTTGGACGGCCTGAGGAATGGCCTTAATTCTCGGGTGAACTATTCCTTTTGATCACTGACAGTTTCTTTGTGAAACCAAAAATGTTTTTTCTATCTATGGCATCGCAGCAAAACCCCTACTGGACTGCACTTTCCACGATTAAAAAATGAACAATAATCAGACTGCATCTTTCAATTTGCCAGAAAAGCACTTAGGATGAAGAGGCAGGAGCGACAGAAATATATACAATATCATGACTTCAGCATCAGGGACTTCCCAGAGCTCTGCATTTTCATTTCCGCTCCTCAAGTTCAATAAAAGCACGCTAATCATTTACACTCCAGTGTGCTTGTGCATTCATGCAGGGAATACGAGAGCATAATCTACTGAGCGAGTGACTCATGCTCATTATTAAAACTTAACCACAGCCCCTCGACTGATACACATTCACCAACCTGGAGTTGAGCAGCGCCAGCAGCTCGCCCGCGTGGTACAGGTCATTGCGTGTGATCCTGCTGAAGCGGATGGAGTTGAGATTGCAAATCGTCACCGCTGGGAAAACCATCATGGGCGTCGTGATCTCGTCCAGCTTGGTGACGTGAGGGTACTCCAGGTAGAACTGAATGCGATCGACGCAGACGTACATGAGAAAAGTCAGTGAGCTGAGGAAAAACACCACCCAGAGGCAGCATTTGGCCGTGATCTTCTCATAGGAGAAGATATGAGAGATGCCGTGTAGAGTCGAGGTGTGAGCGAACACTTGGAGGGGAGGCGGCTGGTCGTAATCAATGTCCATAGCTTCCACTTTGAGATCCATCACTGATGTTTTCATCACACAGTTCTTCCACCGCAAAGCTGCGAAACTCTCCCTAAGACGTTAAAAACAGAGACACACATTTTACTTCAATAGTTCTTGCGATCATAAATGAGTGATCATTCAGCAAAGACGTAATTTTGGGATGAAACTATTAAGGTGGGCTGGAAACTCTAAGGCTGGTGGTTAAAATCCCACAAGTGTTGATTCGTGAAAGGTCACTAGTTGTTTTTTAGTATTATTAATTTACCATCATAGCTTTTTTATTTTAAATGAGGTTTTCTTTGTATTTTCAGTTTTATTTTTTAGTTAATGTTGTTACATGCTTTTGAGATTTTAAGTTAAAAGTTTAGCTTTAATTCATTTTTATCAACAAGTCATTTTAGTACTTCTAGTACTCATTTAGATTCCAAGGTAACATTTCTAATTTTCATTTAAGCTTTTAATCTGACATAATATTTAATTATTTTTCATATCTTATTAATATTATATTTTAATATTATTAATTTACCATTATAGCTTTTTATTTTAAATTAACTTTATTTATATTTTCAGTTTTCAATATTAATTTTAGTTAACGTTTTAATCATTTTGTTATATGATTTTATCATTTTTAATTTTCATTTATTTTTTGAGTACTTCAAATTCAACTTATTTCAGTTAGATTCCAAGGCAACATTTCTAATTTTCGCTTACATTTTTCCATCTAATATGATATTTTATTCATTTTTTATTTTCATATTTGATTAATATAATATTTTATTCATCTAATATGTAATATTTTATTCCAGTTTTATTTCCCAAAATGATTTTTAGACAGTGTATAAAGCCATCGTGTGAAGCAATTTGACATTTTATTTCCCATCACGGACAATAAATGATTCTGTTCACTATATTTTAAGATTACGTTTTGCATCTAATATTAATATTTTATTATTCACTAACAAAAATAAAAACGGTTTTTGACAGTTTTATTTTTAATTAACAATATCAACACTGATACACAAATCAAGTTACTCTCAGAGAACTGCGTTTATAAAAAGTGAAATGACTAATTATCAAACACAATGCCATCTTGCCATCTCCCTAAAAAGCTATGTCCCAAGATCAGGGGCCTTCAACAGGGGGGCTGTCAATCATTGTCTGAAGCAGAAATGTAGTAAAATTAAAACATAATGTGCAAGTATAAGTCACAGTACATCAATGCTTCTTCTCTGTATATAGTTCAGACACCTACAGAGAGCTTGTAAAGGGCAATTTGCTGCCTATGCCAAGTTCCCAATAGCATTTAATTATAGTCTACAGACCAGCTGACAGGAAAATCTCATAATCAGAACAACATATTGCAGCCCCAAATCAAATATGTTAGCATAAAGACAACTAGAGCCTTTTTTGGCATTAATTTGTGACATTATTTTCATAACAATTAAGCAGGCACCCATTCTCGTTAACATAATACAAAATAAGATAGATAGATAGATAGATAATTTCAGTTGTAAAATAGGCCTATGTATAAATATTTTGTTTAATTAGTAAAATTAAAATATAATGCGTACAGGACAATTCTCATTACTGCATTAAAATCTAATGAGAATCATCAACGAGAATAAAAACTCTAAAGCTAAACATCTGGGCTCATTTAAATCAAGAAAATTGTGTGAGAAAGCTTAATTTTATTTTTTTTAAATGTCACAACTCAAAAAATAATAATAATAGTACAAAAAATCTTCCCATTTTAATTTTAGGGTGAGATGCGACTTGTTTTCGTTGACCTTTCGTGAGAAGCACAGTCTCAGGTGAAACGCGCCAAATCACGATTCGATTTTTTTGGGCTTGTTACATTGTGTCACGCAACAGAAGCCCACAGACAGTCAAAGCGCGACAGTGATTGGAACAGCAGCGTCACTTGTAGCACACGAGCGTTTACCTGAAGCACTTCAGAAGAAAGATGCTGGACCTGAAAAGCGATGCCAGTTATCCGAACATTTCTCCGGCGTTCGCGCAGAAATCAGCCGATCCCGCCGTCCATCCGACAGACTGACGGAAAGCCATATCTGTGAGGAAATGATGCTTCGCACGCTGGACGCTCTCGTGTGACGATCCTGAAGCTCTAATGGAGGAAGCCAGCCAAGGATCGTGAGTGTAAGCGAGAGAGAGGGAGAGAGAGAGAGAGAGAGAGAGAGAGTGGGCGGGAGGGAGTTTTGTGGGCGTGAACCCACACAATTATGAATCCACAATACTATAAGAAACGTACCACAATCGTATTACCATGTTTTTAGACATGCACCATGGTAATGCAAGGGTTTCAGAACAAGTACCTTCTATGGCATAAGTTACACGACATCATGAACGTACTGCGACTTTACCATGGTTAATGATGCAGTAATTGTAATACTATGACACCTAAATCCACGTACCATGGTATCTACATGGTACTCAATGGTACTGTATTATAATTGTACATGTCTAAAATACTATGCTTGTACTATTATAGTACCATGGCAGCAACCATGGTACTTTTTGGGCACATTTTTGTAAGTATAGCCTATTTTGTTTATTGCATACCATGGTATTCCATGTACCCTGGAGTATGTAAATGCTATGGTGCAGTACATAGCAATTGAGTATCAAAGGAATATGGTACACTATACAATACTGTGTTAATATCATGGTATTTTGGGAATGTTTTTGTAATATTGTAGCCTATTTTGTTTATTGGACATGTACCGTGGTATTCTATTACGTAGCCTACCTTGGAGTATGTAAATACCATGGTACAGTGCATAAATATAGTTATTTAGTACTGTAGTACAGTATATGGTACTTCATAGAATACCATGTTAATACCATGGTACTTTTCGAATGTGTTCTGTAATTATAGTAGCCTGTGTTGTTTATTGGACATGTATCATGGTAATACCATGGTATTCTGTAAAGTATCATATATTTAAGCCCCATATATGGTACTTCATAGAATACCATAGAAATACCATGGTACTTTTGAGTACATTTTTATATATAGCCTGTTTAGTGTTTTTGGACATGTATCTTCGAGTACTGTGTACGGTATATTTCATAAGAACAATCATAAGCACTTACAGGAGTTTTATATTAGATTAGATTTATTCTCATATCCTGTGTCTGTTCTCTCTTAATAAATGTTTGAGACAGTATAACAGTTTAACAGTCTGACCATCGCATGACATCTTTGGTTAAATGGCCACATATGATACTGCTGTCAGTAAATATTCATTACTTGAGATTAAATATGAATGGCATATTTTTTTGGAGTGCATCCGGAGTGAAATGCTCACATCCCTCTGACAGGTTTATGGCTCTGCATATGTGGCTCTGCATATATGATCACACACACGCACAATCTGTCTGATGTGGTTAAGTCAAGAGAAAAATGGCATTCTGCTTTCTGACATTCCATAAAGCAGAAGCACTGTATGGTCAAATACTGGAGTGCATATGCTTTATTTACAGAACCAACACAACCCCTAATCTAGTTAGAAGACTACATGCACCTCCTAAAACACTTGTTCTCTGGCACAAATACATCCTATGGTTTTGCTGCCTCAGCCTAATACAGTATTACATACATGCATTATATTCCCTGAGCGCTGTCTCTAATGCATGGTTACACTTCATCTATTTCTCTCTGCTGTCTACTAGGCCAGATGCTGGTTCACATGGGGCCGGTATAGGCAAAAATGGATTTATTTTATAATGCACATGTTATTGTAGGTCAAAGCAAGAGGCTACATGTCTTTTTGTTCAAAATCAAAATAATGAAGCATTGATGAGCATGAGACTACTTTCAAAGACATTTAAAAATCTTAATGGCCACAAACTTTTGAATAGTATAGTGTGTAAATAGTATAGTTTGTATTGTGTAGTGTGTAAATAAATAAATAATTTTATTTAAAATTCAGTCAAAATGTCAAATTATGGCAAGTGTATGAAATCATGTTTATTTGTAAATCAGTTCATTTATGTACAGCACAGTTGAGATCTATGACATGGGCGGCGTCAAATGAACAGATGAGGGCGGGGTCACAGAGTCTCTGGAGTCTTTATATTGGCCCAACTTCCAATGAGCAGATCACCAGTGTTATTCAAACGTGAGACCCATGTGAGGAGGTACAGAAGGGACAGACTGTCGTCAGCTTAGGCCAAGCTCTGTAAACAACCCAATAGCTGGGTTTGTCCCTTTTTAACCCAGCGCTGGGTTATATTTAACCCAGCATTTTTTAGAGTGTAGCGATGGTCAGATGGATGCTGGTGATTGGCTGGGTGGTGGGAGGAGCAAACCTTAGCCCTGCCTCCCCCGGGGGCCCCCATGCTTGCGTCGACAAGAGCCCAGGAGAGTCTCCAGAGCCAGCTTCACGAAGGCCTGGAAATTATTGCTTCTCTCCCTTCGGCTGTCCTGCGAGGGGAAGACACAGAGACAGATACCTTGACTGGAAACATACAGCAAGTGCAATTAAATCCACTTGTCTCTGAGAGCAAGGAATGTGCAATCTTCTCTCTCATTTGCATCAAGATAACGCATAGTGTTTCTCCCACACACTAAACACCGTTTGACACTTTATTCTATTGTAATCAATCAAACAAATCTTTATTTGTGAATCAAACATTTACTTTCATAAGCCATAAAAAGCATTTTACATTTCAGATATTTGCGGCGTCATTTTTGCTTGTATTTCATGCATCTGAAATGCCTTTTTTTCACTCATGTCTTCTATGCGGTTGTCAATATTTACCTCCTTGCTTTTTGGCGTCATCTCCTTTCTGATCACCTTTTTTCGGCTGCTCCTTAGGACTCTGTGGTTGCTACAGGGAAAAATAAATAAATAAATAAAATTCAATTTCTAAAGAAAGCATTTGAAGATCTCAGTTTTTTTTTTTCTTATATCGTTTTGCTAACGTTCCTATTAAGTTATGAAAACGTTATACCTGAATGTTCTCTGAGTATTTAAAATGACCGTTATTTAATATATCTAAAACGTTTTTTTTCTTGGTAAAGTGAATGTTAGATAAAACTTTGAGAGAATGTCCCATTTATCATTGTGCAAAACATTAGAAGAATGTTTCTTTTGAATGGTCTTTATATATTCTGAAAGAGGTAGTAACAATGTTTAAAAAATGTTGCAGAAAACAACGTTCCATGAAGGATGTATAAATAACGCTTTTGTGCGAACATGAAAGACCAACAACTTTAAATGAACGTTGTATTACTATTACTGGAAGAACATTTAAAGATCTAAGTTATTCAGCTAACAATGAATGTTCTCTAAATGTTCCAAGAATATGTTAAAGTAAACATTAAGAGAATGTTCCAGTCATCATTTTGCAAACATTATAGGAAAGTTACTTTTGAATGTTCTGAAACAAGTAATAAGTAATATCATTTAAAAAATGTTTCAGAAAAATATGTTCCATGAACAATGTATTTCTGTGCACGTTATTAAAGACCAAACAACTTTAGATGAACATTCTGTGAATGTTACTGGAAGAATGTTTAAAGATCTTAGTTAACCCAGCGAATAAAAGAACGTTTAGCTAACGTTCTTATTAAGTTATGAAAATGTTATTTCGAAATGTTTTCAGAATGTTTAAAACAACCAGTTTTTTTTTTTTCTTGGTTAATGTGAACGGCAGAGAAAACATTATGTGAATGTTTCATTAATCATTGTACATACATTATAGGAACAGTTCTCTTTAAAGTTCTCTGAACATCCTGAAACAAGTAGTAACATTTAATAAAACATTTCAGGACAAAAAACATTCCATGAACGATGTCTAAATAAGGTTTTTGTGCTGATGTTTTGCGAACGTTATTAAAGCTCAGACAACAGAAGTTCTATTAATGTTGCTGGAAGAACATTTTTTTCATACATTTGAGAGAACCTTGCCAGAACATTAGCCAATACTAACAGTGACTGATTTTGAGCAGGCTTTATTAATTATGCATGTGTAACTTTTCAGTATGTGCAATGGGTCTGCTGTGGGCAATTTTTACCTTGGTGGTGGATTTCTTGTCCGCCTTATTACCTGTTAAATGTTAAAACATTCAGGACATTACTTTTTGCATGCCTGCCTGGTTTAATCTACTAATATTATTATTGCGGCAGTTTTGCATATTACATATCATATGAAATCATTTTAAAAAAATTGCATATTTCATGCTTTGCTTCAATATCTACCTTTTGTTCCAGGCATTTTGGCTGCGCTCCAAAGTCCTTGTGTCCTTTTAGAATAAGCAGTGCTGAGCCGCTGGCGCGGCCCTCATTTATGGTCCCAGCCACTGAATGACTCCATGTACGGGCCCCCTTCGGGAAAGAGCATCAGGAACAAGCAAAGAGCCCCGTCAGCTGTGCCTCTGCACTGTCCTGCCATGGGCCTCTGCTGAGCTCAGGTGAAATCATGGATGTGTATGTAGCTTTTGTACAGTTAACCCTTTTATTTTGCTGAACACAGATTGATAGTTCACTCCCACAGCCTTTCCCTCAACACAGATAAACTTACTAATTTTGAAATTGTAATATTCCAGTTTGAAATTTAGGGTGATCTGCAGACTCTGATCTACTTCTTCTGATGAATTATGTTAGTTTTACCAAGACAATGTTGTATCTTCACTTATGAAGTATTCTAATTTGTTGAGATAGTGAATTGGTGGGTTTTTGTTAAATGTGAGTCAAAATCATCACAAATAGATGCCAAAGAACCAAAGGCTTAAACTACTTCAGTCTGTGTGCATTGAATTTATTTAATACACGAGTTTCACAATTTGAGTTGAATTACTGAAATAAATGAACTTTTCCATGACATTCTAATTTATTGAGATGCACCTGTATAGGGTTGCAAAGGGGTGGAAAATTTCTGGAAACTTTCCATGGGAACTTCGTCTGGGAATTTTGGAAATATTACAAGTTTGAAACTTCGGAATTTATGAGAATTTATGGGAATTTTGGGAAATTTATGGGAATTAATTGAAAATTTGGGGAAATCTATAAAACTATCATATACAAACATAAATATAAACATTTTGTTTGATAATAGGCTCACAAGCATGCAAACTAGGGATGTGCCGATACGAGTGTCGGTACAGAACGGTTCACGGGGCAAATTCCAAA